TACTTATATACTTTTAAACAGTATGTAACTCTAATTAATACATACATTAATCTGTAAAGGGATTACAGGGTGGATTTAGGAAATGTTCCCCTCCCCACCAATGCAGGGAAGTACTGGAAGAGCCTCAGCCTAGAACATAATTTATATAGTTGAATAAAGAAATTAATATTCTTTAGATCTCTTATGAGCACCTTAGAGAATCTTAAATTTCCTCTGAACATTACCATCAATTTGTAAACAGCTTATTCAGTTGATCTGACCATGAAAATGATAATATAATCTAAAGAATATTCTCCCCATGTTGCTGGGATGAAAAGCACTTTTCCAACTCTACTAAGACAATGACACTATAAACAGATGTGATTTTCTTAATGAGTGCAACACTTCATTGAAATAATAACTGGAAACACTGTACAAACAGTTTCACATCTACTATAAAGCCATTATTCAATTGAGTTCTAGTTGCTTACGAGGAGTTTCAAAAACTATGGTTTAGTGCAAATGTGCCTCAAATGCATCTCAAAAGTATGCTGGAGGAAAAAAAGCTATGATAAATTACTTCAAATGGCTTTACATACAGAACTTGCTTTCTATATTATAATTAATGCTACTAATAAGCAAACTTCTCAAAAAAGCGGGTGCATTTTATAGCTGAATATTTCAATACAGATTTTTCATCTATTTTCTGTCAAAGCAACTTTTGAAAGGGAATGAAATACTTAAATCGCATAAAAATACAAATATCCAGTTTTACTTTTCCCTAGGCTTATGTGTGTGATTTGCATGCAATGATAAAATTAGAATTGCAAGTTTGCACAGTTATTTTTACTCTAGCCCACATTTGATACTAAAATAATTTCTGTGTGTTTTAGACAACCATCTTGTTTTCTTTATTTGTCAGTACATTGTATCTCATTGTAGGAATTCAATGAGATACAAGAGAAGAAGCTTACCTTCCTATTTAGAATCTTATTTAGTACTATTAACTTTCTACTCCCTAGCAAAGCTGAGGTTTAGGAAACCTAACACCTATGGTAGGTTCAGTGCCTTAATTAAGCACCTTATTCTAACACATCATCAAGCAGGAATGGGGGGAAAAATCACTGTAATTTAGTTTTTGTTTTTCTTTATGAGTCTGAGAGTACCAATATGATTAGAGCACTTTGCAAACACTATATTCACCACAGAAGAAGTTGGCACTGTGAGCTACTGAGAAACACCAGTTCCAATATACCAGTCTAACCTGGTCATTGTCAGCTTCCAGTGCCAAAATCAATTAAGCAGCTCACATATAACAGAGTTTGAGCACAGAACTTTTTAAATTATATGACTTTTTCAAAGCTCTTTTTTTCCTTCAGACCACAAATCTGAAGAGAAATGAGAGCACACCAGAAAACTGAAACAAAAGCAGTATGGAGTTTCTGATAAGGGTACTTAAAGTATGAAGTAAAAATATATGCATGTACATCATGTACACACACCCCAATTTTACACCCTCCAGAACACAGCCAGACTAAAGGAATCCCTTCTCTCACCCACAATAGTTCCAAACTGAGCTTTTCTCCAGTGAACCACCCAGCTGTCACGTATTTTCCCTCTTCCAGACCATCTGCCTTTTCTGGGAAAAAATAATTATTTTTCATCTCCTTCTGAACTATCAATCCAAATCAATCCATGCTTCACCTGCCCTCTGTGGACCACAGAACTCCAACAACCACACCTTAAAGAATACTTTTAGCTACTTTATCTGCCCAAAAATCTCTTCTGCATCCACATGTCATCTACCTTCCCTAAGTGAATCACTAACTTCTGTCCTCAAACTCAGATTAAGATAATGACTATATACTTGAATGGCAGGAGAGCTCACCAGTTCTCTTAGTCATCCAGTCTAGCTCCCCATCACACTCCACACCTCATTCACTGTACAGGAAAAAGAGTTATTGGGGTAGTTAGTACCAAATTCTGTGATTAGGCTGAGAACACTTCCTTCTTTACAGGAAAGTACAAGAATCATCAAAACCCAATTAAACTACATTTATTTTTGCTACTGATGTTGGAAATCCATGTGAGGTTGTACAAATCTGAAGAGATCTTCTTTAGAAACACAGTGGGTAGCACCAAGGGAGCCCCTACTCCATTTCCCATCACATGCCTGGGACAGAGTATATGTAGAGAGGAATTATGCATATGCACATTCAAGCTGGGGTTTTGGGTTTTTTTTCATAATTCTAGAGGAGGACAACCTAGAACTCTGCTTTAGGCAAAATTCCCCATTGGTCATCTCGGAAAGAGCAGCTTTACTTCCAGGTAGGTTATAAAGCCCCCAGCTTTGAACAGTGACACTGGCCCAGGCTGAAAGAAACACACAGCCCTGCAAACCAGCAGCATTTCTGCTTCGACATGGGCTGCCAGGAGGCCAATCCAGCTAGCAAGCTCTCCAAGTGCAGGGAGAGCAGCCTGGCAGGGTGTTCAGGCATCTGATTTACAGACTGCATGCCATCCCTTTGAGGAGGACAGATCATCCAAGAAAACACAGTTTGAGCTCCCCAGGAGGGAAAGCTGGTGAAAGCTTTAGCGCAAGGGTACTTGCTGAGAAATGAGGGTCCTGTGGAAAACATGCAGAGCATACCCATTTCACTCCTACACTGAGTGCCCATCACCCCGTGTTTCTAAGAAAGCAAGGTAAAAGTAAGCTATGCTTTTAAAAATAATAAAAAAAGACGTGTAGCACATGGACATGTAACACATAATAAGAACACCACACCCTGAACATGTTGTTCCTCTAACATTTACAGTGAGCCCAAGGGACTGGGTAGTAAGCCAATGCCAATGAATCTGCCATCACTTTTGTAGCAGCAGGATGAGATGGGAAGGTCTGAAAGTCTGGATCCAAGCAGTACTCACTACAATTCAGCCTGCTGCTTTTCTCCTTTGAAAGGAGGGGGAATCGCTGCCTGGAACAGTGAACTCTGCCCAGCCAGTCAAATCCTGACACCTGCACGTGCGTCGGATCAGCTCTCAGACCACATGGGAGGAAGGGAGGGAGAGGAAGGGATGGAAGCTCACAGCTTCCTGAACGTATGCAACCCACCACCCCTCCACAGCAATGTGTGCATTTTTCCCAGGGAAAGCTAGTTACCTGAGTCAGCTAAACTGAGAAGCTATGACAAGCCTTACCCATGTTCAGTAGTGCCTTCTTGGCGACTATTCGTAATGAAATCAATAGTCTAGTTGGGGGCTTAGCAAATATACCCACACTGTGGACTGCAGATCTCTCTTAGATCTGGGCATGGGCTGCCTGGACTGAAGGGAAGAGACACATCACTCTCACCCTACAATAACCAGTAAATTGTAGACTGGGAGAGGAAGCAAACCATGATTAATTATTGCCTGCACTAGCTGTAAGACATTCCCTACCCAGAAATAAAGGGCAGATGAGGAATGACCTGGGCTTCTGCAGTCTCTCAGACAACATTTCTCTTTGTTGTCACCTCTAAAAGCATATCCTCAAAGTCTAAAGGCATATCCTTGCCTCAGAGCAGTAACTGCTGCATTATACTGCTCAGGATGGATATGAGCAGATTGCTCTAACTCCTGCTAAACTGAAGTCACTCATCTCCTAAATAGCAGCAATTGCTAAGTACCACACTTTTCAAAAGGAGAAGAAAAGCTGAGTGCTTTTTTCCTTTCCATTTTTGGAACTGTACTGTAATCTGTGCAGCTACAGAACTGCAGCTGACACCACAGCACCCTTTGCAATGACTGGAGTAAGCAGCAAAAATATCCACTGAATTTTTGGAGTATCAGTCCCGACATTCCCCTCTCCTCTATGCCCACGTATCTGTAATCTTGCTTCCAAATCCTGAAACACAACAGAAACATTCCCTGGCTTAAAAATCTTCTTTATTTAAGCACCTAAACTTTTAATTGTGCTTTGTAGATAGAGTTTAAAGATATACGGAAATTCTGCCAGATGTCCATGGCTAGCGGGTCAGCTGAGGAACAATTCAATCTAGAGGACTTAGCCTGGCTAATTACCTTTTTCGCTTCTGCACACCTACTGATACAATTACATATTTAACTACACCAAACCAGACCTTATATGTTGCTGAACAGAATAGCATGAAGCTCTAAGTTTTCATCATTCTCTTTTCCTTTGTGCAGCTTTATTTCAATAGGAATGAGTTTGCAGATGAGCTGAAAAGTATTTCTTTTCTAAAGCACGTGCCTTTTTTCTCCTGTCCAGTGAACAGAATATGGAATAAATTATATACACAAAATGGCAAGAGACACGAGGACTAGGTGGGATTTTTTTTGTTTCTTGCTGTTATTATCCTCTGCAGCTTTAGATTAATATGCAATCAGAACAGAAATCTTTACTAAGAGAACAATATTAGGAGACGTGCTATAAGCAGAGCAGTCAAGTTTCAGTGCATTTTCAATCCAGTTATTAACATCTGAATAAATACTTTCAGAAGCATTACATGGAATGCTGCTTTCTTCAGTGTAACTTTCGATTGAAAACACAATTTAAAAGAAAAAAAAACCACTGAATTCCCTATCCAGACCATTCTTTTTAATTCACACTGAAAAGTTCCAGCCAATACTTACATCCAAATATACCAGCAATAAAGTAATTTTAAGACAATTTAAAGTAAGTACTTGATGTACTCATATACCTTATACATTATTTAAATATGCCCTAAAACCCAACAATTTGGTAAAAAGCATCCTGAAGTCATCTGCTACATCCTATGTGTCTAAGATATTAATAACAGCAACTGACAGCTAATGACAACATAATAATTTAAGTGCGTTGACAATTATTGACCTGAACGCACTTCAGAGAAATGTAAATGCCAGAGGAGAGCAGTTACAGCTCCATGAATAATGTGTGCCCTGGATTCTGACCATCAGCTTTGCTATTTCAGTTTTGTGACCTAAATCTCCCTCCCCAGTCAGAAGAAAACAAAAAAAACCCCAAACAAGAAATGTCTTACTTGTTCTGCCTTCTCCAGTGATTTTCTATCCGCCTGCAAAAACTGGCAGTTCTCTCTCGCCAGCTTCTGGACCAGCTCAATCCGTCCGATGTCATCTCTTCCCTGAAGCTTGCATAAAACTCCTGCCTTAAGGGTGGGAGAAAGAGCAAACAAATACTTAAATCCACAATCCCAGGACATGACACCGCCACAAATTTCAACCTTAAAAGAAATGCATCTGTTTTCTCATATTTGCGGTACTTCAGTGCTGCTTGCTGAACACAAACAAGTCGCTGCTTCCCAGGAAACAACTGGAGAGGAGTGGAGGCACATCTGAATCTCCAAATGTATCTACTTTGGAGGGAAGAAGGCAGGGCTAACTAAATCAACCGCTCCTCTGAGTGCAACTATCAGATATGCTGTGTTTTATTTGTTCCTGTCAGCCTGTTTCCTGTTACATAAGAGAACAAGAGCAAGAGGTTAAAAACTCATGGGAAAGTTAGCCAGGAACAGCTCTGGAAAAAGACTGAAGTGCAACAAAAGGCAGTCCTAAAAATAACAGGCTACAACTCCCTCTGCTCCCACCCCAACCATTTTTCACGTATGCAAGACTCAAAAGATAAGTTGTGTCACATTTATTTATTCCGTAAATAACAAATCAGTCTCTCTTGATTTTGTTTAGGGAAGAAAATTATATTTGCTTTAAAAGCTATTTTTTTGGCTAATATTCTGACAGTTATTCAAGTTATGCTTGTAGTGTTTTGCCAAAACATTGAGCACTGGTTGTTTTCTAAAAATGCCATATATATATATATATAAAAATGGATTCATGCTTGCACGCAGGCGTAACAGAGACCCATTGCAAAGTTAGTTGATATGGGCTAAATTGCTCCCTGAAAAGTCAGTGGCTAATATCACTGTCCATGCTTTGCTTATAGATATAGCCTCTGCATAACTGAGACCTGGCGCGATGATACCACACAGCTTTTATTAGCCCAGGTGTTTCCTGTGGGAACAGCATATGCTTTGGGAGGGCCCATCATATGGCACAGCTATGGTATTAGACTTCAAAGACAATCTGCAAATAAACATTTTTTCCCCACTTCCTCCACCATTTTCTTGCTACTATTCATCTTGAGTTTAAATGAATAGCTATCTACTCCAAAATTCACAACACATCTTGTGAGTCAGGCCTAAAAGCTACGGATGCCCTGACTGCTAACCCATAGTGCCATGCAGGCTCCAATTCTTTGGCCTTAAGAAATTCCTGCCCATGAAGGTATGAGAGTGCCCACTCAAATAGTCTGCTGGTTTCTCCAAGGAAGAGGGAAGTGGGGGTTAAGACTTCTTCAGTTGAAGAAGAAAACAAATCCAGTTTACGAATAAGTGCTTTAACACTGATGGAAAAAATAGGCTTCACAACCAAGTACAAAGAGTCATCCTTACTGAATTCATTGAAATAAATTTGTACATGCCTACATTCTTCCAGTCTGGATGAAGACATCTCCTCACAAGCCTGTATTATATACTTCAGCTCTGGTGAAGGAAAGGATTTCAGATACAGCCTATACAGCCTGTACCCTGCATGTCCTCTGCTCTTCCTGAATCCAGCCTCCTGAGGAACCCAGCTTTCCCATGTGACTGGTTTGAAGGTCAGAAACCCACTGAGAACAGAAGGAATTGCACTGCCTAATCATAGAATCACAGAATAGAATCATAGAATCAGCCAGGTTGGAAAAGACCTCTGAGATCATCAAGTCCAACCCTTGATCCAACACCGCCGTGGTTACTAGACCATAGCACTAAGTGCCACATCCAGTCTCATCTTAAAAACCTCCAGGGACGGAGAATCCACCACTTCCCTGGGCAGCCCATTCCAATGCCTGATTACCCTCTCTGTAAAAAATTTCTTTCTAATATCTAACCTAAGCCTCCCCTGGACGAGCTTAAGACCATGCCCTCTTGTCTTACTGACAGCTGCCTGGGAGAAGAGACCAACCCCCACCTGGCTACAACCTCCTTTCAGGGAGTTGTAGAGAGTGATGAGGTCTCCCCCAAGTCTCCTCTTCTCCAGGCTAAACAACCCCAGCTCCCTCAACCTCTCCTCACAGGACTTGTGCTTGAGTCCCTTCACCAGCCTCGTTGCTCTTCTCTGGACCTGCTCCAGCACCTCAGTATCCTTCCTGAATTGAGGGGCCCAGAACTGGACACAGTACTCGAGGTGTGGCCTCACAAGTGCTGAGTACAGGGGAAGAATCACTTCCCTGCTCCTGCTGGCCACACTGTTCCTGATACAGGCCAGGATGCCATTGGCCTTCTTGGCCACCTGGGCACACTGCTGGCTCATGCAGCTTCCTGTCAATCCCAACTCCCAGGTCCCTCTCTGTCTGGCTGCTCTCCAGCCACTCTGTGCCCAGCCTGTAGCGCTGCATGAGGTTGTTGTGGCCAAAGTGCAGGACCCGGCACTTGGCCTTGTTGAACCTCATCCCGCTGGAATCAGACCATCTCTCCAGTCTGTCCAGGTCCCTCTGCAGAGCCCTCCTGCCTTCCAGCTGATCGACACTCCCCCCTAGCTTGGTGTCATCTGCAAATTTGCTTATAGTGGACTCAATCCCCTCATCTAAATCATCAATAAAGATATTAAACAGAACTGGGCCCAACACTGATCCCTGGGGGACACCACTAGTGACCGGCCACCAACTGGATGCAGCACCGTTCACCACCACTCCCTGGGCCCGGCCCTCCAGCCAGTTCATAATCCAGCAGAGAGTGCCCCTGTCCAAGCCGTGGGCTGCCAGCTTTTCCAGGAGTATGCTATGGGAGATGGTGTCAAAGGCTTTGCTGAAGTCCAGGTAGACACATCCACAGCCTTCCCCTCATCCACCAGGGTCACCTGATCATTAAAGGAGATCAGGTTGGTCAGACAGGACCTGCCCCTCCTAAACCTATGCTGGCTGGGTCTGATCCCTTGTCCATCCTTTAGGTGCTGTGTGATTGCACTGAGGATGATCTGCTCCATAACCTTGCCAGGCACTGAGCTCAGGTTGACGGGCCTGTAGTTTCCCCGGTCCTCCTTCCGGTCCTTTTTGCAGATGGGCGTGACATTCACCAACTTCCAATCATCTGGGACCTCCCCAGTGAGCCAGGACTGTTGGTAGATGATGGACAGCGGCTTGGCAAGCTCTCCCACCAGCTCCCTCATCACCCGTGGGTGGATCCCATCTGGTCCCACAGACTTTGAGGATTCAAGTGGCTCAGCAGGTTGCTAACTGTTTCCTCCTGGATTACAGGGGGGCTATTCAGCTTCTTATCTCTTTCTACAAGCTCCAGAAGCCAGCTGTCCTCAGGACAACCTGTCTTACTGTTGAAAACTGAGGTAAAGAAGGTGTTAAATACCTCAGCCTTTTCCTCATCTTTGATAACTACGTTCCTGCCCATGTCCAATAAAGAATGGAGGTTTTCCTTGCCCCTCCTTTTGCTATTGATGCATCTGTAGAAAGACTTTTTGTTATCCCTAACAGAAGTGGTTAGATTGAGTTCAAATTGGGCCTTCGTCTCTCTAAATTTCTTTCTACATGCCTAACTATATTCCCAAACTCTTCCTGAGTAGCCAGCCCTTTTTTCCATGATTGGTAGGCTCTCAAGGTCCTTACATTTTCTATGAGATTAGCTCCTTATCTTCTAAATCGCGGACACTGGTTTGTAAACCAGTTCAGACACACCGTTATCACCTGCAGATCAGCACTAAGACTGATTTTATCAAATGTGGAAGAATATAGTGAACTAGTTGTCCAGACTTGTTTAACCAATAGAGAAAAAGAGGTACTTAGGAAGAGAAATTTTTTTTACTCTACAGTAGACTCGTAAAAATGGTCAAATCAGTTGTTTCCTAATATTCTGCTTTTTCTCAAGGAATTTAAACAGGGAACCTAAGATTTGCAAGAAGTCTGATGTCTGTGCTTTGCAACACTTTGATGGTTTGGGGACATCAACTAGAGCCAAACCTGCTTTTTTCACGGCTGCAGGATGCTTCCAGCAGAGAGTGTTACATCTTGTGCTGTAACCCCAGAGGCTTGTAGGTTAAGGATGACTCAAAGCATTATGGCCCACTAGGGCTTTGAGACTATAAAGATTTAGAGTCTCTCTGGATCTGGGATCTTAGTACTGTGTAGGCACTTCTTACACCTTCGTCTTGTGCTGTCGTGGTTTAGGAATGGTACTCCCCAATTTAGTGTTCCCACGGTGACTCTCTAAACCACATGCCTCTTGCTCACTCCTTCCCTTTCACCTCCCCCTCCCCCTCTGCAGTGAAATGGAGAGGAGAATTGAAGACACAAAAGGTAAAGATCTCGGGTTAAAATAAGAACAATTTACCAGAAACAGCAATGAGATACGAAAATGAACAGTAACAGCAACAATACTGACAGAGGGTACAAAAAAATAACAATTCCCACAGAAACTCCCCAACAATAGACAATATCTAACTGCTCCCTCTGCCATGCTACACTGACCTGAGTAAGCTCTAGGTCCTGGCCATGGCCATACTGGCTACTGCAAAAATTAACCCTGTCCTGGCTGGAACCAGGACATGTGCCCAGACAAGGTAGACCATGACCTACGAGTGGCATATGAGTCCCTTCTGAACAAACATTTATTGATCTTCAGTGTATGAAGCAAAGCCCAATGGTTAAAGCCACTTACGTTAAGAAGAAGAAGGGGGACTTCAGTTTTGGGGTAACAGTTGGTTTCAGTATATTCAAGGGGAAGCCAGTTGATATAATCTTTTTGGATTTCAGTAAAGCTTTCAATACTGTCTCTCACAGGATCCTTCTGGACAAAATGTCCAGCACACAGCTGGATAAACACATCATGTGGTGGGTGAGCAATTGGCTCATGAGTTGAACACAGAGGGTAATAGTGAATGGAGTGACATCAGACTGGTGACCTGTCACTAGTAGGGTTCCACAGGGCTCCATCTTAGGCCCTGTGCTCTTCAACATCTTCATGAATTACTTGGAAGCAGGACTGGAAGGGATATTAAGCAAGTTTGCAGATGACACAAAACTCAGAAGAGCTGTTGACTCCCTGGAAGGCGGGGAGGCCCTGCAGAGAGACCTCAACAAATTACAGGACTGAGCAATCACCAACCATATGAAGTTCAACAAGAGAAAGTGGCGGATTCTGCACCTGGGATGGGGCAACCCCGGATGTATAGACAGATGGGGGAATGAGATGCTGGAAAGGTACCTGGGGGTCCTGGTCTATGGCAAGTTGACTATGTGTCAGCAGTGCCCTGGCAGCCAGGAGGGCCAACTGTGTCTGGGGGGCATCAGGCAAAGCATCGCCAGCCAGTAGAGGGAGGGGATTGTTCCACTCTGCTCTGCACTGGAGTGGCCTCACCTTGAATATTGTGTGCAGTTTTGGGCACTGTAATATAAGAAAGATATTCAGGGCAATGAAGATGGTGAAGGGCCTTGAGGGGAAGCTGTATTAGGAGCAGCTGAGGGCGCTTGGTCTGTTCAGCCTGGAGAAGAGGAGGCTGAGGGGAGACCTCACTGCAGTTACAACTTCCTCGTGAGTGGAACAAGGAGGGGCAGACCCTGATCTCTTCTCTGTGGTGAGCAGTGACAGGACCTGAGGGAATGGAATGAAGTTGTGTCAGGGGAGGTTTAGGTTGGATATTAGAGAAAGGTTCTTCACCCAGAGGGTGGTTGGGCACTGGAACAGGTTCCCCAGGGAAGTGGTCACAGCATCAAGGCTGTCAGAGTTCAACGAGCATTTGGCTGATACTGTCGGGCACATGGTGGGACTCTTGGGGATAGTCCTGTGCAGGGATAAGGGTTGGACTCGATGATCCTTGTGAGTCCCTTCCAATTCAGCATATTCCGTGATTCTGTGAACAGTCTGAACACATGGGTCTTGCTCTCTTTCACCACTTGCCTTCTGTCTGTGTTCACACAGAGCATATTACTGCCTTCCACATAGATGAGCATCCCAGGGATGAAGTAACTCTAAATGCAAGCCCATTAGCCCTGCCACAAATATGGTCTGTATTCAAATTGGCAATTTCATTGAAGAATCATATTGTCCTATTTCAAATAACCACCAAGTAGAGATACTACATTTTAACATGTCCCCTTCTCTGCTAATAGTTCATTAATTGAAAGAATTGAAGAGAACATGAAAAAGAAACTGTTATTGGGTTTCAAGAGGATAAAAAATTTCTCAGAGGGTTAAGGTATTATTAAATTAATTGTACATGCTTGCCTCTGGGAGTAAAGAATGCACCTGAAATACAAAAGGTTAAACATGTTTTTTCATAATGAAGAAGAAAGCTATGAATCCTTCCCTTTTAATTCTGATTTCCTCACTTATGCTGACTTTCCACTATAAATCTTTCTGCTAAATACTCCGAAGAAAACCTCCAGGTCAATTAAATAATTGATGACAGTTTCTAAAAACTGTTTTGTAAGATGTTGACAGTCTCTGATTACTGGTCATTTTCACTTGTCAATATAAATTTAATTTTGAAGCAATACTTTTGAAGCTGTTAGACAAAAGGGTAAAGTCAAGTCACCCTACTTGCAAAGTGCAACTTTGATTTTATTTTGTGCAAGAACATCCTCTCTAAAACCCTGCATGCCTAGATGTCCTTGCTTAGTCCTGTAAGTCATGTAGACTAGAGATACAAGTACAAACCTATGTGAAGGTGAAAATCACAAAGTTGCATAGTTTAACTGGCTTTAATTTAATGAATGATAAAAGAATGTAGGAATTTTATAGTAAGGCTTTACTACCATTCATGGCTCAAAATTACTATAATTAAATGTGTTTATGCAATATCTGAAATGAAATAAAAAAGTTTAATGGAAATTAAATCAAATTAGTCACTACTGAGGTTGAAAAAGTGAAGATGCTGACAACACTTCTTCTGTCTCAGCACATCCATTGGAAAATATTCCCTCTGCAAAGATCATAAATGAACATGGTAACAATGACATGGAGGTGAATTAAGACATCCCTAGGCAGACAGGATGGGATCTTTTATTGACATTGTTTACAGCACGCTTGCTTTTAAAAATCCCCAAACCAAATTTTTTCCACACTTCTACCAGTTTTGTCAGCTAACTCCCATGTAAATCAAGCCTCTGTCCCAGAGCAGTGTTGAGAGTGGACACCACACCCTTCAACTCTGTTAAAGGTTTATGGTGATTTGGTTTTTTCCACCGTACCTCTATCTCCTTCTGTGGCTGGTGAAAACAACATAATTATTACTGGCTTCACCTCTGATCAACCTGAAAACTTAAAACCATATGCACTGCCTCAAAAGATAGGATTGCTTGCTTTGCTCTAGTACCATACACAGTCTGACTAAAGTGAAAAAGATTATTCACTCCCTTGAAACAAACTGTATTTGTTCTTCACTGGATGTCATTTTTATGGCACTAACAAACAAATCTGAGCAACTACTACTCTGATAACACTTCTGCTCTCCTCCCAGTAGAGCACATGAATACTTTTGTTAACTGGTCATTTAGTAACTGTTAAATTTTAAATGTTTCATATTCTTTCAAATTTTAGAAGCTGGTTTCCAGTCAAATAAAAGCTGGGTGAATCAATATCCTAATAATAAATTCTTATGGGCTTTTATAATCAGTCCATGTATTTTTATTAGCTGGCTACTCAGGAGCTTTGAGCATGTGTTGTCAATGTCACAAATGGGAACAAACATTTTCAAAAAACCATATCTACAACAATCAAGTAGAACTAAGCATACATGAAATCCCCCACAAAAAACCCCAGAAAGTCAGATTCTTGGGGCAGTGAGGTCAGTACTTCCCCCTGGGTCTCTTCTATATCTCTGTAATGCACACCCGACCTCTACAAAACTGATCCTTAGCCCTACACTGATGTGAATTAGGAATCAAAGTTGGGTAACAAATTTTTCACATATTAGGGCTCCTACTACCCTTTTATTTTTTAGTGGATTTGAAACTGTGTGCAACTAAGAAAAGAGCAGGTCATTTCCAAAAATCATGTCTGAACGTGACTCTGAGAGTGTGCTAGAAAAGCCCAAGTACACATTGGTGCAATTGGCATGTCCACATGGTCCCAAGCCCTTCTGCCTGCACTCTCCAGGTGTCTGCCATGGCCAATGTCTACTACCAGAGCTGACTGGGCTCACTGTGGTCGAGCCAGCCCCTACCTTTAGAAAGAAATAGGTACTACTCACTTGGCTACATGGCTTGTACCCCTTCAGCTAGGCTTGATCACAAACATCAGTGTAAATTCTGTCTTTCTTGCACACAACTTTTCAGTTTGGCAGGGTGTTAGGGAGATAAACCAGTGGTAGGAACTGCACATTGCATGTAGGGGAAGGAGAAAAGGTGGCAAGGGAACATAACATTTGCAAGAGGAATAGAAGAAGAAAAAAACAGCCCAGACTGTGGAAAATCAGTTTTAAATTAAAAGCAATAATCAGTACCAGTACAATAAGCAATGCAGTCACCCTTGCACAGCTTGAATGCATGAACTAAATGACTGAATGAATTGCAGATTAATCAAATAATATTCACAGAATTAAAAAGGGTAAGCAATTCCACAATAAAGTACTCTAAAAAGCAGTTAAGTTTCTTCTGAGCAATATCTAGAAGTGTGCTTTGGTTGTAAATGAGGGCAGTTAGGCAAGGAAAGAAGAAGGTTGTTGCTTGCACTTGAATGACTAATAAGTATCCTCATTTCATTGCATGTCTACTTACAGTGATTAAAATTCAATCAAAATGTCATATGCCCTCGCCTCCTAAAACACATCTCATTTTACTTTCACATCTGGTATATGCTATGTGTATTATCTAAAAAGAGCAGAAAGATAGCTGAAGAATGCTGTCCAATTGCAACATGATGGGATTAATTCCCAGAATAATCATCAATCTTATTCTAAATAGCCACATAAAATGAGATTCAGCAGACTTTCTCCTTCCTACATGCTTGCTGTACCAAACAGTTCTTCAATTTGTAGATCTAAAAACATTCCCAAGACTCCATTATTTTACACATTTACCTGTGCATCAGAGGTATCCTTGAGCTCTTCTAGTCCTCTTATTTCTTGACTGCTGTTTTCCTCATTTTGACAGATAGCTAAAATAAGAAAGAATACATTGGAAGCAGGCAGATTTAAATCACAAGAAGCAGCAAAGCAACATGGCCCAGTTTAGATCAAAGAGGGTGACCATTCAAGAAACCTTGTTCAATCTTCAGCATTCTAGTTAACTCCTTGAGTGATTTTGGACAGATCCTGTTAAGGTGCACCTTATTGAGTTTAGACAAATGCTAAATACAGTATACTCTACTTTTCCCCAGGTAGTAAAATCCAGCACTAAACAGTTATATTCATGCTACTGTTAGTCCTGATAAAACTATGACATTTAAGGAAACTCCACTTTTCCATACATTGTAACAAGACCTCATGACTCATAAGGAATAAAAAAATCAGGTCTCCCTTTACTTCCATTATATTGCACAACATCAATTCAGACTAAACAAAATAAGCAGATTTATCCCTCACCTCAAACTTGGAAAATTCTTTGTAAGCAAAGTGATCTCAATCTCAACAAACACCACAACTACCCATGAGAGTCATCTCCAGAAATAAATGGTAGCAGAAGATGTTCTATTGAAAGTTCTTTGCTGCTGGCATAATAGGAGAAAACAGTAACCTCGCTCAATTAACATAACTTAAACCACTTAACATCAGTAAGTTTTGCCAGACTTTAAAAAAAAAGTTTTTTATCAAACTTGTAATCCCCAGAAGGGTCAAAACCAGACTACCTAGAAAAACAAGGAACCTCTTTTGAAGGGACCACTCAGTCTTCTGGATTGCAAACAGCTGCATCTATTAACATTTTTGCTATCTATATCCCATGATACCCTTTCAGTCAACACACCCACACGCCGTATTTTGTGGGACATTAAACCCTCAGACACTCTGAAATGTGACACATGGCAGGTTAGGAGTGTAAGAGCCGACGAAACACATGAAAAGTAACTTTACCTTACGCTGTACTCATTTACTTAGAAGAACCATACTTAAATATTGTCAATCTTGAGTACACATCAAATGATTTCCTGGTGTAGCCACAGCAGTTGTGACACCAAAAGTGTCCTTGAAGTGGTAGAGCTGCCAAATCCACTTCCTAAAAAAACACCAGGCTCATGGCTTTGAGGGATGAGTAGGAAGATTGAGCTAGTGTGTCTCCTCCTGCCTATCTCCTCTCTCCTTCACCCCTGCGCACCTGAGGTGGTTGTCACTGTGTGTGAACAGCCACAGCCCACAGCACAGTGTTTTCAGACAAGGATCACGAGTGGGGTTTTGCCTTAAAACTATGTCTGCGAGCTGAGGCAGCCCAGGATTTGATTGATGAACAAATCAGCTCTTGAGGGAGCAGGAGAAGGGCTGGCAGGTAGCAGTGTTTCCTTGACCAGGCACCCTCAGCTACGCTCTTCTAAGCCCTCAGACTGAATCTTTAGACATGCAAACAGCTTACCATGGCCTAGCTAATACATGTAACGTGAACCTTGAGGTCCAGTTTGGTGTGTCTGCTTGGGTGCTCTGGGGCTGCTGCAGACAAAAACCAGCCTAACATTTACGCGGTATCCAGCAACTTAGAAAAAAAGTAACTTTGGAGTGTTCTTAACCTCCAAAATAAAGCATATGGATTTATTTTCTTTTTCTGTGGATTTCTGCTGATACTGCAATGCCATATAGGATATAATTTTTCTTTCTTCCCCCACAGTTATGCTGTCCAAAAAAAAAAAGTAATAAAAATGTAATTATAAAAGGGTAAATAAGTAATTTTGTCAATACAGTTTATTCCATGCAGGGATCTTTTAAAATCCATTATCAAAGGAAAAAACAGAGCTCTGATATAAATCTTCACCAGTGGGTTTGCACATATCACATATCATACCAGCTAACCTCTGAAATTCAAGGTGGTTGTTGAAAACACAGGGTCAGACTACAGCTATAACAGAAAGCTCGTATAACAAGTATTAGATCCCAGAAGCATTTAAAGCTAGGCAAAATCAAAATGTGCTTGAGACATTGTGGCATATCCATGCCCCAGTATGAGAGATAAAATACGGTTTTTTATATATAGGCGTATCGTGGAGTTGTAAGATATCCAAGTTCCAAATGGGACCGGGTGTCAGGGTCTTTTCGGCCGGATAAGGGAAATATAAAAGTTCCTAAAAATTTAAATCTTTCAGAGCCATGTGGAAATTTTGTACACAGGGGTTTCTTCTCTCTCTTTGGGCTAAGAACAAAGGAAGATCCATCATTTTTGACAGAGGATGCCTTGCAGCCAATCGGAAGGAAGGGAAAGCCCCTTTTCAGAGAAAAGAAACCTTTTTAGGCAAAAATGAATATATTAAACTTATCTGAAAAGGGTGGGATTTTGAGAACCTATAGAATGTATGGAATTTAAACCCAAAGGGTCTTTTTCCCCGGAAACTCGGTGGGAGAAAGATCCAGTGCACTGAATAAATCCTTTCCTTCATGAGTTTATGCCATCTTTCTAAATTTAAAAGAGGAATTTTTTCTCACACCAGCTTGGAAAAGGAACAACCCAATGACACAATAACTAGTGGGATGGCCTGCACAGTCATGTGTGGCCCCTGCTTTCCTAGTGCAGGTCAGGGTTTCCAAAGGCAACATGCTCCATCCAACCAGGGTGGGGGCTCTGTGCACTCCCTTCCCTTGTAACCCACCTCCCAGCCATCCTCCCCAAGAACTGCCTCATCCTCTTGCACACTCCCACATGTGCATGACCCTGTTCTACCCACTGACACTGTGAGAAATACAAAGTGTTCAAGACATCCCTTTGCTGAACGCTAGTCAGAACAACCTGCATGAGAGAGGAATGTTGCAATGCCAGAAGGCACTAACAAAAGCTAAAAATTGGTTGGTTGAGCAATTGCTCAAAATGTTAAGTCTGTGGCTACATTAGCAGGAACACATTTCCCCAGCTCTCCTTTCAATTTTCTGATTTCTCCTAAAATCAATTTGCTGTAGCCATGATGGGCAAAATATCCCCACAGACTCTGGCTATTAATCACAGCATTTAAAGGAGTGGCACCTTGCTAGTAACAAGACCACGCATCCAGGTTTAAGTGATTTACATTGATCCAGCCAGCTTTTCCAACAAGGCTGAGCAGATGGGCGCTCTGCAAACAGCTGTGCCAGGGGAAAAGGTTAGTGGCTGCCAATTGGCTTCTTGCCACAGGCCTCTGTTACAAGTGTCCCCTTCCCTGCCCAGGGCCAATGCAAACACCCCAGAATATCTTCGACCAAAGTAAACAGGCAGACATTCAAGGAGCAGCACCGTGCTGAGGGGATGGTGTCTCGCAGGGGAGCTAATGACAAGAATGACAAGCAGCAAACACCCGGAATTGAGGGCAGTAATAGTTCTTACCCGGCACAAAGGGAAAGAGGGTACATGTTCACGACCCCCAGTGAACAAAGGTATCTTTGGGTGTTGAACAATTTTAGCATGAGCAATTTTAAAGATGAAGAGAAAATTACCCCAGTTTAGGGTGTACCCTAAGAGAATAACTTAAAAAAAAAAAGAAATAATGGTTTATATCACCAATTTAATAGCTCGATTCTAAAAAACCTGAAGAAGTTCCTAATCCAGCTTTCTTAACCCAGCTCTCCTTGGCTTCAAAGTTGTTTAGACTGTGTAAGGAATGTAGAAAAGAATCAGTAAATATTTTCTTAAAGGAAAGAAAAAAGTCCCAGACGTCACACTGATGTCCTTGCAGCTCTCTTGGGAAAGTGGGAGCAGTTGGTGTCTTTCTTATGAAATTTCCATCGCAAACTTGATTTTTGTGACATCCTTGCCTCTTATCCAAACCCATGAGAACCAGCCACAATTGAACCATTTAACTACACCCAGGGAGCAATACTCAAGGAGTCACACCACTTCACACTTTTTTTCCATCATAAGAACACAGTCCCTTGGAGGCTGAAGTGGCCACACCAACAAGCAACAACCCTTAATTATATTCTCTTGGTTTCAGTAGGAAAAGCTTCTTATACGCTTCATCTATAAAATAGGAAGAACACATTCCCTGAAATATTCTGGTGTATTTAGAAATTTATGGTACTGCGTAAGAAATTGACTGCAGTATTTCTATACCCGTTGTGCCTCCTAACCCCATAACAACTCACAGACACCCCTTGAGTTGGCCCAGGTGCTGCCCTCACAGGCTATTGTGCATGCAACACAAGTTCTGTCATAAAATACAAGAATTCAAGGATAATTTCCCACTTACTGTTAGTTGGCCATTTATTGTTTTAATAAAAAAGTTCTGCCATCGCAAATTCAAGCATAGGAAAAGTGAGCGGAAACTTAGGGTGGGATGGGAAAGTATTTCTCAGGCAAGTGTTGATTCTGGAACTGTTCATACAAAAAACTTGTGAACTTTGGAGCTGAGCCAAACATTTCCTTCTCTGCCAGCATAAATCCAGCTTTGCTCCCTGATACAAACATCCCAGCATGTTTTACAAAGCAGCAGCAACAGGGAAAGGCAAAGATGGTTTACCCTGATCTATATGTATCTATTAAATGTTATGTTTGGGTTCAGGCTTGAGACCAGAGACAGGAAAAAAAATGCAAACAGAGTGACCAATTCCCTTTCTACCTGCAGCATTTCTCCTTCTTTGGAAGAAAGGTCACCATGTATGAAAGAAAAAGATGTCAAACAAGCAACAGCTTGCTAATGTGCAGTTCAAATGTATCCTTTTGCAAATCAGCCAAGGGAATTCAGGATGTTGACTTTTTAAGGTCACTTAAGGATCACAAGGGCCATCATCCAATCTAAGTTCCTTGTGCCCCCACAGACCAGAGATGAGATTTTGCTAGCAGATTCTTCTGTAAACTAATGTTGGAACAGAGAGTTCTTCTGGGGGAGAGCCTTATCCTTTAGTAATCCCATTTCATCTCAATAAATCGGCAGAAAAAAATAACAAAGAGATAAGAAACAAAAGTAAATCATTTTATACCAGCTATATCAGCAGAATCAGCCATCACCTGGGAGTGTTAAAGGAAAGGGAAAGTAACCATTGCTCACACTGGAAC